GTAGCTGGAGGACCCTTAGAAACATCACGAGTTTGGACGGGGACCCTACTCCTTGTCACGTAGATGCGGGAATCGAAATCACGCCACTTGACTCAATGGCAGACCTCCTGATTTAAAGTGCACGCGTAAGACCATTCGGCCACCCAACTGTTCGATAAAGAATAGAGAAACCTAGTCGAAACGTCGGTCAGTAATACACAGTAATTGTATTCTATGCAATTGTGTCCTGCGTATTTCAGTTCAATGTCCCAGTTGTTGCTGACCTTGCTGATTGGTATTTAATGTCTGCTTCCACAATGTGATATCGAAAACTAGCTTTATCTCATGTCTTCACACCTTTATTTTAAGACACAATGGCTGCTGAATGTTTATCAGATTAAAGATATTTAACTGGTGGGGGGGGGACGAATGGTTAGCGCGTGGGCGTTGTATCATAAGGTCTGCAATTGAGTCAACTGGTGTAGTTTCGATTCCTTGGTTGTACGTGTCCAATCTCGTGGGTTTTCCGCGTTCCTCCGGTTTCCTCTCACCGTTAAAACCCCTACGTGCAAGCGCATTATTGAAATAAAATTGAACCATATGTTAGTCCCGAAATGACCTAGTTTGTGTCGAATGGACGTTAAACCCCACTCCTCTCGCTCGCTCTCTCTCTCTCTCTCTCTCTACCCCCACCCCCAATACTGATTATTGTTCGAATCAGCGTTGGGAAATACGACCCGAAGCGTAAATGCATTGTATGAATTGAGCATCATCTCATATTAGATTTGACACCCACGCTGTTATCTAGGTAGAATAAACCCTTAATCTTTATTCACCACAGCTACAGATATCCATACTCAATAAATTAATATATTTTTATGGATGGAAAAGTTCATATTGCTTTAGGCTAGATATCAAAATCTGTCAATTATCAACATTTTTGTATAGCTAACATGGCACAAGGATTAGTGATAGATTTAGCTTTAAGACGATTTTGTGGACAGGTATGTCATTAAAACGGAGACCATGCATAATAATGACGTTCTCAGCTACACTATCTCTATAATAAATCCTGTATTTACTATATAACATTTTCTGCGATTGCAATATCCATTTTCACAATGTCAAAATTTCTCAACATAAGTCTGATACCCGACGTCGTTGTGCAAAGAAGTTATCTAAATGCAACTTGTAAGCGACTCGCCAAGCATAACAAGGCCCTTAAACACGGCGCTCAATACAAGTCAATAGATATTTAAGAAACCAAGGCTTTTGATTCACAATTTTCAAGTTCTCTTACGCCTGATCTGTCTGAAACCTTTCATTATTTGTTACATAATACCCGGGTAACACCGTCAAGGTATCAGACATATGACGTACTTTTACCTCGACACTGCGATAATGTGCAGTAGTCAAATGTAACTCTTTATAAATAACAAGACATTTTACATTAGATAAACTCTTTAATTTCAACATAAGCACGCAATAGAACACTATAGCGTTTCATCCACGCATCATAATGAATAAAATCGTAAGTACAATAGTATGATATATTATGTACACTAAACATTTCAATGATCAAGAATAGAAAACAACCATATTATAACAGTTATCAACATTTCTTGTTTACAAGAGCACGGTATAGATCAAATACCACGTATAATTATTGTCATTTTAATCACGCCAATAAACAAGATGCAGATCAATTAACGGCAAGATGGAGCATTAATACATGAGCGGAATACCGGAAGTACTCGAAACGGTCGCGAGTCGATGACTTCCGCCCATATAGCCGCTCAAAATTGTGCAAATGGCATTTAAAAATATTGCTTAATACTCTCTCTCAGGAGGGATTTGAGCAACCCATAACCTACTATATTCTGATTACCCTACATTGTGCTGAAGCATCATAATATTTCTGGGGAAAACGATTTAACAATAACTGTTTAAGCTTAAACAATCAACAAACTTAACAAAAGAGTTTTACATCCAGTGCAATCTATCCGTTCATTAAATAACAAATTTCTGTTACAGGCAAAAATTACGATCAATATATATCACCGAGACTGGGTCGTTTTCTAGAAATGTCGTAACTGAATGGATGAATTTAAATCCATGCAGTTATATAAATACACAAAGGCAGTTTAAAAAAATCAACAACAATTCCGTTTAAGAGAATGATTAAATGCAGTAGCTTTCATGGTTTACATTAGCAACCGGCATGGTGTTATGCAACAGCTTTGATTTGCTATTAGCTATTTGCCATAAAATACTGTATACTTTCATGCACTTTTTATTAATCACAAAATAACAGTTACCATTTCAATGCCTTGTAAATATTAAATCAAGCATTTTCTTCATTTTCTATAAATAGACACGTGTTTTTAACGATTTATAAATTTAAGATTTAGTGGCGTTTTATGGGATGCAAACATGAGGCGACCCTGAACAAATTTTGCGTCCCAGTGTGGCTCACGTGTCTATTGAGTATATGACTTTAACAATATATATACAAAATTACTTTATGAGAAACTGCACGTGGGTGAGACGGGCCTGTGAGTATAATTCGGATATTTAAATATGAAACCAAAATTGATACCACAAAGCACAGTATGGTGGATATTTTAATCGATTTGTCCTCGCCCCCCAAATTCACAATCTTGAGCTTACGTATTTGGACTATGACGTGGGTTAATTGTCACTATTTTGGTTAAAATCGCTTTCTATTAAAATAGCACATGTAGTTGCAATCATAATGTAACCATTGTTACTAACCAGAAAATAAAATGGAAAAGGAAAGAAATCGTCTAAGAGTTGGTTATTACACGTGGCATAGATGCGAATACATAGCCGTATTTTCGAATTTCTTATACTGAAATCCATTTTATTATCATTAGTTTCACAGACAAAGACCCTAAATTTCTTGTTTTAGATCTTCTTTTGTACCCAAGGGAATCGTAAATTTGTGCGTTTTTTTGTAATAATGGCTTAACTATCAACTTTCTTGAAGATGTCGATGTTAGCGCCGTTTTATGACTACCGAGAAAGATATTTGTCTGATTGTGCCCAATATAGTTACGTTTTCATTTAGAACAAATCTAATACTGTGGCTAACAACTGATATTGACAACAGATTCATCGCCTTTATTCAATTACTGTATTTTAGGGAAGAATTACTTCCCTTGAAATAGCCCACACAAGCTACGAATTTGGAACATGTTTAATCTGAAAGGAGCTTAACGCGCTTCGCCAACAGAATGTTTTCTAAATAAAGACAGCGTGGACCAACAGTGTAAAAATATCAAACTGGCGTAATTAAGTAAATCTGCGGAATTTAGGAGTTTGAAAGCTAATTGTTACGTTATTCAAGTTACACCTAATTCTCTATGTTCGGTTGTGGAAGTTCGATTATTTGAAACGATAACAAGCAACCTTCCTCAATTAAAACTAACCGCGATATTTTGACTAATTGGTAAAGATTATTGTCGAAATTTGGGTACGGCGTGATTGCATTCCAGACAGAAGGGATTTGTTATCTCAATTTCATGTATTCGTTTTAAAGAACGTGCATTGAACTATTAAGATCTTACAATTGTTGACATACGTTTTCTACTCTACTTGGCGAAACTGATGTTTTATTTAAATAAACAGGAGGGGATAGAACTGATGTTTTATTTAAATACACGTGAGGAATTGATAAATAACGTATTTTGTTAGTTTCCGTGAACCCCCGAAAAGTCTCAATAAGTAGCATATTCCCCAGAATATTCAGAGATTATTAGTTGAAATAATTATTGAAGCTACGAAATAAAATTTATAACTTTCGCTATCTAAACGATTAGAAAACTCGCCAAATTTGGAAATCACGATCAAGGAGAAAAATCGAGATGGGCGAGTTTCAACCCCCGAAGGACGTTTCCCGATATCTCGAGATATGCACAGACTATGACCGATTCAAAAATTAGCTTGATTAATAATAATATGTATCAATTGATATTTTGTTTCTGTACGATTCAAACCGTACACTACAGATTGTTAGATTGTTCAGAGTAAGACATATTTGCTACGATGTCGCCATAGTTAAGTCGCATTGTTTCTAAAATAAAAGTACTTCACAATAACAGCAGCCATGTTGATACGAAATCAGTGTTGCATCATGTAATCGTGTTTTACATTTGAACTAATATCATTTCACAATTCACCCCGAGGTTTCGCACCGCACTCAACTCCTTTTTGAAGTGATCCAGGTCAAATAATCAAACGAACCATATAGTTCCACAGTTATGTATTAAAATCGTTCAATCAAATTCGGTCCACTTCAGTACACATTTCGGCACATAGCACTTCGGTGCGAGTCAAATCACATCCTTCAAGTGTGTGCCATTTATTTCTATACTTCGCGATGAGCGACTTTGCCTCACAATATAATGCGACTTCGTTACTGAGTCATTGTGTGTCACAGCTGTAATTCATTTTAGAACAACATTTCATTTTGCTCAAAAGGAATTGTAGGAAAGCTCAGTAGGCCTACGAGTCATCTAGTTTCACAATGAAAGTTCCATAGCTCAATGATAGATCTATAGCTGGATCAATAAACGAAATCAAGTTCATCATCGCATCCATCGATGAAAATATTATAGTCCGTAAATTCTTTGCGAACACGATTGGCGAAATCTCGCAAAGGCAGAATATATATAATATAAGAGTGTCAAGCTCTGTTTTGTTTCACAAAAGAATCGAAGGCATTTGAAATGCTTACCGATTCGGACAACGTTACGATATTCTCTTTTCAAGAATATATAATAAAAATCATGTTGAATAATTCATGATATAATTTGCATCGTATTATCTTTAAACAATAACCAATGTAATGATGGAAGTAAACATATGCATGTATTATAATAAGCCTATACACATAAATTATGTTAATTTATTCATATTTAATTGTATATTCTATATATAGTATATATATTATGGTAATAAAATATGTTTTGTTTAAATAATGAACTAGATATGATATTTATTAATATGTAGGGGTTATTTACATCTCTCCGACAAAATTTTCTTAAAAGCTTTCCTAAATTCGGGGTTAAAAATTGTGTATATGACGGGGTTAAGAAAACTGTTGATGTATCCCAACCACACAAAAAAGCTAAAGAGAACGACCGGCATATTACAGGCTGCATATTCGAACAAATCAAACTTGATACAGATAGCGTTGACAATGTTAATGGTAAAAAATGGCCACCAGCACAATAAAAACACACCTGAAACGAAACGAAAAAGGAATTTGTTTAGTTTTAAATTTCATTATTATCATAAAAAAATTTAAAAATTCCGAATTGACATCCAAGAATACTGGTCTGCGCAAAATGATGTAAACTATGTATAAGGTGCCACAGGCTGTACTGCGATTTCCATACGCCTTTTCAGTAGCTGAGAGGAAAATTACCACCACTTTACAATTGAAGAATGTAGAATGAATTGTGACCCACAGAGACAATATTTCTCGCAAGTCATTGGGTCATCGTTAATGTCGTTCTTCTCAAATATATTTTAATATATTATATTAAGAGGCTATCAGTTCCTGACACTTTATCCCTTAAAACTGCTAATTTTTTATAAAAAAAATAATGCCCCCAAATGATATTTCTGACAACATTAGTGGTTCTTTAATGGACGTATTATGGATTTCGACCCCCAAACATAAATAAACATACTAAACAATTATTGGATCTGGACTGTACAGTGTAATATTTTTAAATTGTTGAAAACCGAAAGTTGAACATCTCGTCAAATTGGTTTATTTGTTAATATTGGCGAGTGAACAAATGACCGTTCTTCTCTGATATTTAAGAATACCTTAAACTAATTGAAATAATGATCTACATGTAAAAGAAACATTAACGTTTTGACTTCTTATCCGATGAGACACAGTTAATTGCTTTGTGATTTTGCCAAACAAATTCACAATAAATCTATGTTTCACCGGGAAAAGAGACTTGAAAAAGTGTCTTAGATACTTGAGTTCTCGGCTTATTTGACCCATATTCTTCACTCCAATATTGTTTGAGAAAACAAAATTGCTGTTACTTTATTTCGATAAAAAAACTCTCTGTTTTGGAAATGTTTTTTCCAAACATCTTTTGATGTAATAATGCATTAAGAACTAAAATATGCTTTTTGTCATAAGAGACTGGATAATATTTGTTAGGACATAAGTACTGTACGTTTAGAGTTTTAAAAATACATTAAGCAAATGGATAAAATGGGTGTAATAGCAATTAGTCATTCAAGATGCTGACAAGAACACTTAAACACCCGGATATAGCGGGAAGGAAAAGATTAAAGATGCAACCTTGCAGCCGGCCAATGAACATTTTCCTTTATTTTAACAAATACTAGGACTAAAGGTGTCTATTTTTGGCCTGAATAGAAAGCAATACGAATTTTATATGACATTTACGTTAGGATTTAATGATTGTAGTAATTTTTGGACAAATATGATTTGTGGATAAGATTACATTTTATTGTGTATTTGCCGTTTACTATTGAAAAAGGGGGATAAGTCAGATTACAAATTAAAATCTGTAAATTTATTTTTAAACCTTGTAAGTGTTTTAGTAAATAGACTAAAGAACATACATAATCAATAAATAGCTTACATTCACTTGATTTCATATATTATCTTGTTTATTGCTTGCAATGTATGTGTAGTTTGTGTCTTGTCCACATGTTTGTCTTATCCTGCACGTAATTCTATAGCGTGTATATTAAAATCTTAAAAGTTAACGGTTATGTTTGAAGTGGGCTTCTATGATTTATTTGATCAAAAAGACAGTGCTGATATTACACATTTGTTGTAGTCTTCAAACAAGATATTATATGTCATATGTTTGTAAAGTGTACAGGCCATTTTTGTTTTTAAGCTTTCATTGAGTTTAGTTAACTTTTCATCCATTAACAAAAGCTGAACTCATCTCCCACGGCACACAGAAACAAGCGTTTTTGTTGGTGTTTTTTTTTCTGTTCGATATGGCAGCACACTAAGAGGACTAATGGTCGGATAACATAGCACCATTAACTAGTTGCTTTTTAAAAAGTCTAACCATACGGAACAAAGAATAGTTTTTCGTTTGTTCCTGTACGTGAGAAAGTCAGAGCTAAGATACATTGATGAAATAAATGTGAATTTTGAGGTTAAAAGGGTCGAATATCAACTCCATAAAGCGTGATTTTTATTATGGTCTACTTCTAAGAACGACTGTCGAGAATGTCGACTAGCTTTGCAAGCACTTTTGATTGATGTAAAACTCCTAAATAGCAAAAAAACAATGTTCTCTCACAGTGGGGATAGACCATGGTAAACCTAAACGAAACCTTATTACAAAAAGCCAGATCACATGCATAGAAAAGTTGTCTTGCTTTGGGCAGTCATGCGAGAGCTATGTTTTTATAAGCCACGGATAATGTCCCTTGATGTCGACTCTTCGCCACTGGAGGGGAGAAAATTAAGCCTTGATCTGACAAAATGAAGAATTTTCATCAGTTTTCAAAGACAGCTCGTCATTGATTTCCGGGACTAATTTACTATCTTTTTTCCCCTCCTGAAACCTGGATAGAGTCCGATCTGGTCCCAAGACACAACCACCATTATATTAAGTAATCTACAATACTCATGCTTTGGGAAAGAAAATCAGAAGCGCGGAAGAATTTAATGATATTATACTCTCGCTAAAATTGCAAATCTGTCTTCGTCTGCTTATGTTTAACGAGAAACGGCGATATTTTACGGTGTGAAGTTTAATCTAATGATTGCTTTCTACAGATCACTGTTTGGTGTTCACTCAATTTTAAAACTTGATAAAGTGTCCTTACAGGGTTAATACGCTACATAACACTATAAATAAATCAACCCAATAGGGCAGATCTGTCTTTGACTAAAGTGCACGCCAGAAACCCACGCGAGTCATTATCGTTTGCATCAAACACTAAAAGAAAAAAAAACTGAATTTTACTTTGTGAAATGTGATTAGGGACTATGATAAGAGGTTAAACAAGGACGAGAAACATATTTGCGAGGTATCGCCACGAAATAGAAAACACCAGACCATGGAAAGAGCAAATATCAGTTCCTATTTAAAGTTCCCATATACATGAATAATAATCAATTCCTATTTAATGTCGTCACTTGCCAGATATAAGGTTTAAGATCATATTGAGAAAAAAAACCTTTTCGCGTTCGTCTGCTTTTAACAAGGGGGTGGGTGGGGACGGGTGGGGACGGGTGGCGTGTATAAACCTGTTCAGAATTATTATTCTCTTTTTCTCTTCTATGTTTATTATTATTATTCATAAATCTAAGAGATCAATCGTCCCGATACACTAATAGAGCTAGAAATCAGGACTTCATTTATTGGACAGTAGAAGATGACAGACTGCCAATTCTTGAACGTTAAGAATTTCGCCAGTTTTAAGAGTATTCCAAAAGAAACCTAAACTCCCCTCTCCGACGAGAATAGAATATATATATATATATATATATATTTATCGTTTACCGTGCAACAAAGACGTAGATATAGCTTTACGGTTGTGCAATACTTTTGGAAAATGTTAAAATGTTATTAAATCAGTGTTGAAATCAGTTTGTGTCGACATAACGTTTATCTTTTCATTGTTTACTGTAGTGCAGCTTTACGGTTGGGCTAATACTTATTGGATATATTTTAACATTTTAAAGTATATACGTACCTAATACAATGGCCAGCGTCTTAGTTGCCTTTCGTTCTCTTTTCGAGGATGATCTTTCCTTTCGCTTTCGACTTGTCCTCATATGAAAGTTGAATTTTGTAATACCTTTCTTGTGTGCCTCTTTATTTCTATTTTCGTCGCTTTTTACGCTACCCTTCGTATGTAAGGGAGATAATTGTGCACACCTTGGAGCACCAGGGGAATTAAATTTAGTCTCAGCTTCAGCGTTATTACCCGAAGTTGTAGCAGAGTTACCGGCCGTTTCTTGTTTATCTAGTGCCTGTGCCACAGGGTTTGCTATCAGTTCTCCAACTCCGTCATGTTGCGTGACGTTGTCATCCGAGGCGGGACTTTTAGTATCACTACCATCATTCATATTGCTGTCATCATTTTCACCTTGAGAATCAGACCCCGTACCCATATTTGTCACAGACGTGTCGTCAACAACGGGCGTGGCTAGTTTATGAGCTTTGTTCGTGTTATAGGATGCCGGCTTCCCATTGTCTACTCGCGCTAATCCGGTAGTTACTGTTGGCTCGGCACAGGGTGCCGTAGCTGCAGTGTTCTCAATCACGCTTCGTATTGCTTTTTGGTCCGTTTTTAATTTTTTCTTTTGTGCTAATGCTCTTTGAGAACGAATGTGTAACACTCTATATATTCTCCAGTATAGGAAAATCATTATTAAAGATGGTATATAAAATGAACCCATGGATGAATAAATGAGAAAGTCTGAATTAAAGAATGCACAATCCCCCGGTGCTCTTTTCTCACTGTAGTTCACACCTAGAGCTATGGGAACCGCTATGGCCACCGATATAACCCAGGTTAATGCCAACATAACGAAAATACGCTTCGAGTTTTTGTGCTTTGAATATTTTATAGGTTGTGTCACGGCAATAAATCTGAAAGAGAGGAAAATAAATTATTAGTGTGGTGTAATAAGCATGATTACAGGGTTTGATTTGTTGCCCGGAAAAAGCCAACGTACACAAACCACCTTCTCTACAAGATAGATGGATCTTAAACACTCAACTGTTGTGAGGTTTTCAAATATTTATAGCATAGTGAAAACAACTGATCGAAACTCAGAGAAATTGAATTGAATTAAACGACAAGAGCTGGTTTCGGGTTATGTTGGCCTCGTGGACGTTAATGTACCTATAACCACTACATATTTGTCGGTTAGAAACCTAGTTTTTAAATTGAAACATGCTTACTACCGACAGTGAAAATATTGTAGGCAAGATTTTTGAGGAGAGGCACGTAGAATCATATTTTATCCAACCTTATAGAGTGCGGTACATATATCTATCCTAACAGCTTAAAATGTATTAAAACCATGGTCCCCTGTACACATTGGCGTGCACGTAGTAAAACCCTTGGCTGTTGAAATTCATATAGCATGGAGTATGACCGTCTTCATTAGTTTGGTTAGTGCAAAATAGTCAGAGTAAGACGTTAAACCTTGTTTCATTTCTGTTTAAGAATGGGTCTTTATATGTAGGTTCCGGGTCGTGGCCAAGTTCTGTATCAGACTGGAATCAGACCACTGGAATACTATTGCTAACTTACAATATCGTGTTTTGACTTTTAAAATATAACCCATGGCCATTTGTATATACATCTTACCTATCGACACTTATAGCAGTTAGGTTTAATATTGACGCTGTGCACGCCATCACATCAGATGCTACCCATGCATCACACAGAGGGTCACTAAATAACCACGCACCCGTTACCTGAAATATATAATATATATATAATATGTCAAAAAAAAAGAAAATGGAGGATCGTGGTTCTGTATATAACCATTTTAAGTTCTAAAAGTTTTTATAACAAAATAGATGTTATATTTTCTCTTGTACCAGGCTCAGATTTGTCAACTGCTATAGAATTCACAAGCGTAACATTATATTTTGTAAAAATCAGATTATGGTCGAGCAAGTAAGATTATGTTCCAGCAAATTACATTATGTTCGAGCAAAGGCATTTATTTTCGAACAAAAAGCTTTTGAATTGCATTTGGTCAGGAAAACATTATTTCTCGAAATCTTTATATCTTCCATGCTATAAATAATAATTTCAACTGATACAAACTAAAGCAGACCGATGTACTTGAACATAAAAAACTGGCTCATAAATAATACCAAAGGTACGAAGTAATACTTGTCTAATGGACATAACGAAATAGGCAACCTGTTCCTAGATTAATTCCTATTAATGAATTATTACTATATAGTGTTATGGAAGATGCGTTTATACTTTTGCAAAAAGTCAATCATGTTATGAACCCCAGTCAATCGAATCAATTCAGAATCTTGTATTCAAGCCAAAATGTAGGGGTCCCGGGACATTTTTTCCCACTTTGCCTTCCCTAGATCCGATACTGACGATAGATCGCTATGGGATGCATTGGATGTTGTTCCCGAGATATTGTAGCCGATTAAAAACCAGTCTGCCTGCGACAAATATTCATTAGTATGCTTAGGTCTTTACATGTAGAAACTACAAAGGGGATATCCCTCAATTTACTAACTAGACGTATCAAAGAATGGAATGGACTTTATGGCCCTGACAGTTTTTGGTTACTTCTAGATTGGACAATTTTAATCCGTTATTAGCTGGTCTTCCTACCAAACGTTTAGATAAACTTCAACGAGTCCAAAATACATCTGCACGCCTTATTACACGCATTAAAAAATATGACCATATTACCCCATTTTAAAAAGAAATTAAAGACTTTTAACTTTCAGGCACCTGCGTAATAAAATAAGTTACCACATGACATCAGGTCCTTTAATAATGTTAATACTTTTAAGAAAAAAACTATAAACCTATTTCTCCAAGCTTTTTAGATAATCATGTATATACATGTATATATGTTGAAATTTTTATTGATTCTATTTATTAGTATTGTATTGTTTAATTTATGATTTCATAATTCTATATTTGTTCCATTGTGAAGCCCCCCCCCCCCAACACGTATATGTTTATGGGGGTGGGGCGGCTATAACAAATGTTTGTAATAATAATAATAATGATAATAATATGGTTAATTTACCCAACCAAATGCGTGAGGGGTTGCTGGTATTACCCCCGCTCCTCCCCCCCCCTCTCCCTCTCTGAAAACCACAAGATGATGATGATGTAGATGAAAAGATGATGATGAATTAGGTCTGGCTCAGTGAGCGATGTCTTGGCAAATATGTTCCTTTGTGTTTGATCTCCGTCGATAGACTTAATGTTATCAAAAATCGTAATTCTATAGACCTATCAAATTTTTTAAATTTTTTATCTGAAGGAAAAATTTACATCACATGTGTTTCAGTTCAGTACAGAAGGATATTAAGACATTTTTACACTTACTGACGATGATTTCGTTGTGAATTCCAATATCCAATCTTAAAAAATTAAGTATTTTCGAAGAGAGAATGGGATGGAACCACAAGGAAAATTAACATCTATACATTTTATTTTTCTGGGTATATATGGCACCATGCTGTACACCTCACGTGCAGAACGGTGACATACGTCACATTTCCGTATCATGTCGTTTGTTCTTTGTCAATTATAATGGCTTTGTGCATCGAAGTATTTATTTAGGTCATGAAAGTTTCATTAAGAATGTCAAAAGTTCAAATTGCTGTTTGCTATGTTAAGGATCAATATTTTTTTTAGAATTTTAAATCATTGAACCGGTTTTAACGCCAATATGCATTTTATACTGTTTCCGCTGTCGACAATCAATCGCAGATTAAACTATATGAACTAAAAGTTTCTCATATAACCTTTTATAAGTGACTTTTTCTCTTTAAAAGGACTGGCTAGGATTCATACCCGGATTGAAGGTTGAAATTTATGTTTAATACAATTTTATTGAACTTGTGTTACTCATATGCACCCATAATATACCCCAGAATGCAGCAAATTGAATTAATTTTTAAATTTCTCTGGGGAAAGATACCTCACACCCACACCGTGGGATTCGTACCGTACTTGCGCGTTTTTTACGTAATTCAGCCCCACCTTGCAATGACGTGTCCCGCCCCCCCCCCACAATGTTACTCCGATCTTGTTTTTCGTCGGCCATTTTTCGTCACCTTCGTTTCATCGACAATGATATGTCGTTTACTAAATTCCCCATCGGTTTCATGCTTACACAGCGTTCCACGCCTAACTCTGCAAAGTATTTGATATATTTGGAAATACATTTATAAATCCCGATGGTTGTTTGATGCAGATATGGTCGCAGACTAATAATTATTCGTTTGTGCAGGCCTTTACCAAGGACCACAACTTTGTTTAAGACCAATATCGGTGACTCCAGTTCCAGTTCAATCAAACAAACAGAATTCAAATTGATCGTTGATGGCAATATTCTTAGCAACAGCTAGCCGAGTGAAAGAAAACAACGCACAGATTACATATTCTACAAATATCCATATTGTATAAAAACTAATCTTCTTAACTAATAAAAAAGAAAAGTATAGACATCATATATCATAATTTACATCTTCTGTCTTGTACAACCTCGCGACGGCGAACAATACACTGTTGATACCACAGATATTTTTCCATTCTCAATGAACACAATGGAATGATAGATGTATTTAGCTCACACCAACCAGTTTTGCAGTCTTCCATTTCTCTGTTTCCAGAAGACAAATTATAGTTTTGGTACCGTTTGGCATCGTATTTTGTTAAGAAAAGGCCTCCAGACGCCAAGATTGATATAGTTATGGCCCTGTAGTCACGTATGGGAAAAGCTAGCGGTTTCTCATCTATTTAAGGCAGTCAAGTGTGAACACCTACCTTTCTTTTAATCCCACAGATAATTCCTTATCACATGCTCAATGTTGACACCGTCTTGCTTGTTAACCAGACGGAATTAACAAACTAGGTATGCACATATTTGCAAGTTTAAAGGGAATATCCCGATTTGAACAGAGTCTCAGAAATAAAAGTCTGAGTATGTATGAAATTTAAGCGCCAAAATATAGAGGAATGATGTATTTACCTTGCCTCAAAATCTCAGCTCAAAATATTGAGTCGTTTGGACGTGAACGCCAAAACTGCTTATCCGGACACGTAACCCTTTTAAGATTTCGGGTCAGTTTTTCCGTTGGGTGACCTGATAATCGATTCCCGTCATTTAGAGATATATACAATGAATGGCCCATGTGCTGTACTAATACCGAAAGGTAAATTTCACCTACACATTATTTTTATAAAATAAAAGTCTGGTTTTATCCAGACATCGCATAATACAGCTTGGAACACCGGTCTCCATTTCCATATGAAGACTGGCGGGTTTAAGTTGTTTGAAAACGTATCACATATATTGAGTTAGTTGCTCGGCTTTAAGGTAGAGGCTTTTATGGGATTTTAACACAAAATTAAGCAGTTTTATTCTCCAAAATATTATCGGGATTGGCCCTTTAAATGAACTCACGAATATTCAAGAAAGTGTGGGCATATCCGGACTCCCTTCAGTTAATTTCATCTATGTGTTTACTCCTACCCCACCCCTCCCCTCCCTAATACAAGGAATTCCTCAGCTGGTCCCATGCCTTCACGAGTCTACTGATTGGTTCGCGAGCATAGTGTGCTAGTGAAAGCCTGTAATACAAATAACGGTGATGAACGTCGATCCTAGACACGGTGTACGATTAGAAACACTAAGGAATCAACATTCGGATACAGTCTTATAGTGTTCTGCGTCTGTGCTTACATTATATAATACACAACAAAAGAGAAGAGAATTGAGGATACAGATCTACAATGTATTGTGCATGGGCTTACAACACCACAAGAGAGAAAAAAATAAATTGAATACTTTTCGCAGCGCAAATCCCTTATCAAAAATTGGTCATTTGTTGTTTTTTTTGGGGCCATTAAGATGTCTAGAATACAACTAAAGCAAACTGTTCTATTCGTACACACCCTTTACGGGTTACGAATAAGACTTTTTCCAAAGAACTGTAATACCCCCGTCAGACCGGGGTGGCGTCCTTACTGCGCTGCTACGGCGACGGAAAATCGGCTCAGAGCGCGTCATGATCGCAAAAAGCGTGGTAAAAGCGTGGTGGAAACGTCAGATACCGTGCTGTGGTCTCCATGTTTGACAATGATCGCTGAGTCACGGCGTTTGTTTTGAGCATGCCCAAAACAAACGCCAAGGTTCTGCCATTTGATCTGGAAAGCTGCGAGAACGCGACTTTTGTCAAGTTTGTAATTTTTGGGGACATTTTCTCGAATTTTGTTCACGTTTGCCGGCGACTTTGTGCATTTTCTGGTCGCCGTACGGTTACAGCAGCGCAGTAAGGACGCCACCCCTGTCTGACGGGGATTCAACTCTCTCATCACGTAGCTAAGTGGGTAAGACGCTGGCTCGCTAGCCTGGAGGTCGGGTGTTCAATCCCTGCATTGGCCGAGAAAGTTAATTCAGATTTTCCGGTGTGGTTTCCCCTTGTCAGTGATGCAGGATGGAGGGCCTGACAAGGACAGCTGTCTAGTCGTTCGGATGGGACGAAAAACCGAGGTCCCGTGTACACATTGGCGTGCACGTAAAAGATCTCTTGGCAGTTGGAATTCGATATAAGAGTAGGCCGTAGTGCCGTTGCCCGGGCAAAATTTCCCTCATAGCACACTGTATGGCGTATGCCCGTCTTGATTAGCCCAGGTTAGGAGCAGAACAGTAGGACGTTAAACCCCAATTCATTTCATCTCACATGTTCACGATCCACTTTCACGTGTTATTTAAAGCAATTAGTTAACTAAATCGTAAAATGAATTTTGAAAACAGTTTGTCGCCATTAAATATGTGTACAAAATATTTTCTGAGATTTAAAAACGACCATAATAAGTAACTTGGCGGAAATAAAGTTTTTCCAAAACAAATTATATTCTGACATTTCATCAAATGGACGCGGATCTTGTTTTTTCCCCAGACGTTTTGGTAATTCAACTTGACGAGAACTATATCGGCTTAGTGGCTTTTAATCACTGCTAATTGACAGAGAGAATTTCTTGCTAATCAATTGATCATGAAAATGAGCGAATGATTGCAGTAATTAGATTTGGATTTGGTATACATTTTCTTGTATCGTTTCAGACATCATCAAGTCATCTTCATGTTCAGGTCAAAAGTCAAAATGTCGGTTGACCCTTGTCCAATATCGCTCTTTCCCAGACGAGAGTTTTGTGTGTACGTGATGACTGATTCTTAGAATTCTTTCGATCCACTGAATTCCACCACACCCATATTAACTCTGATTAAAGATCGCCCCAGACTAGATATATATGTAGCCAAATCTATTTTATATTCATTTGAGTCCTTTATTACTCGACTTAAAAGTTACAAATATATAATAGACGGCGATTATCGCAACCGTTTTCTTAATATGACAGATTGTAGACTATTCCGTAAACGGTACTGAGCTGTGCTGTTGGGATCCCATAAGGATCGACAATATTATCAGTTTCTTTTAAGTGGGTCCGATTGCCACTTGTCTGGGGTAGAGCCAGGTCGTTCGGTTGGGACGCAAATCGGCGGTCCAACCGTGTGCAAATAACACCAAACTTCTTGAAGTGGATGAAGGGTTGAAAGATTTTACATTTTAATCTTAAGTAGTTAGCTGCAGACGATAACACCAAATGATCAAATAATTAAACCACAATCTTCAAATTCAAATTTTTCTGTTAGAAAGTTTCTTCATTCACTATACATTACGAATCACTATCGTCAGAGGTTGTGAGCAAAAGGTCAACGTGGTCAAAGTTGTTTAATCAGATCTAATGAGATTGTGGGGAAACGTGTGACATACGTGTGTCAATCACTGTGACCACCCGGAAATGATGTCTAGAAATCTGCAGAAATGACGCTTTCCCGGCACATGATCACTTTTATGTCCATAGCATATTTACCTTATATAGGCATATCGCGTGAATACTAGAATTAGTTGACAGCAGTAGTAAAAAGGACGAAACGAAATGCTTCCGGGGCAATGGACACGAATGCGATATTCGACAGGCACTCTTCCAAGTCCCAATGAGAGTCTTTGGAGATACAGATCTGTCATATCCCAGCAAAGGAACTCCAGTACATGTACATGTTAACCTCGTGCAATACAATTGGCTTAGTAATATAACATGACCGATGATATCATCATGGTGGTATAGCCTCCATAAACATGCTTTAAATGAAAACAATATTTCAAAATTCGGTAAGAAAGCGATCAAACAAAGAAGCCATCCCTTTGTGTATTGATTGTATTTCTGGTATGCAGATAAACAAAATGAAAAGGTTATTTTCCCGACTATAGTATAGTAGATAGGTGTTAGAAGAAATTCTGAAATGATGAATTGTGTGTGTTAACTGGTTGAGCGTGTCTAAGTGGGGCGCACTATTTTGTCGGAAATCCTTCATGATTATCCACCCTGGTGGAATAAGTGTAAAATATTTCCATAGCAGGTTGTTTTGTGAGTTCAACATGCATTACCTCCAAATTTCTTTTAACCCGGGGATCACGTGGCTAAGTGGGTAAGACGCTAGCTCGCCAGCCTGGAGGTCGGGTGTTCGATCCCTGCATTGGCCGAGAAAGTTCATCCAGATTTTCCGGCGTGGTTCTCCCTTGTCAGTGATGCAGGATGGAGGGGCTGACAAGGAAAGCTGTCTAGTCGTTCGGATGGGACGAAAAACCGAGGTCCCGTGTACACATTGGCGTGCACGTAAAAGATCCCTTGGCAGTTGGAATTCGATATAAGAGTAGGCCGTAGTGCCGCTGCCCGGGCAAAATTTCCCTCATAGCACACTGTATGGCGTATGCCCGTCTTCATTAGCCCAGGTTAGGAGCAGAACAGTAGGACGTTAAACCCCATTTCATTTCATTTCATTTCTTTTAACCCCGATGGATCGATTACAGAAGAATTTGTTTATAATCCAAATCGATTGCCTAACGGACTTGTTTTCTGCTTAGTTCCACTCGACGGAACATACAAAACAAAATTGTATAGAACGCACTTTATTTAGTCCCCACTCCACCCCCGATCCCACAACTACAACTTGATTTTAAAAACATAAACTGCACACAAGACGGAACATACAAACATACAAGACAAAATTGTATAGAACGCACTTCATTTAGCACCCTCCCCCCCCCCCCACACACACACATAATTGAATATTTAGTCATGGGATAGCAAGATAACACAATTTTACGTAGGCTACCAAATACTGCTATTTCCTTTTCAATAACCTCAATAGGTTCTGGTCAGGTACACGCTAAACTTTTCGAACCCATTCTCGAATTAGATACAAATCTACCGTAGGCGATTAAAATTCGAAGTATAAGACAAATGCATCTATCATTCCCCAATTCGGCTCCTGTGACCGCCCCCTCCTTCCGATACTGTTACTGTATATCATGTTCTCTGAAATAACATGTCATCTGCATATTGGCTTATTATTAACTAAATATAAATGACTAGAGAAAATGGGCAAACACATCTATCTCCTAGTTAATAAATAGTGTTTGGTTGAATCATACCCAAATTGCGGTCCCTTTAAAAAAAAAAAAAATTCAGCTTCTGTGACCCCCAACCCTCCACTTCAGATTTTATTTCCTTGGTATCACCCTTTATATTATATTCTCTGAAACAACATGTCATATGTATATTACCTTATTAATAACGAAATATGAATGATCAAAGAACATTAAATACATGACAGTCTCGGGTGTAAACAGAATATGTCAAAAACTCATAGTTTACTATACGGTCTCGTGAAAACCTGTTAGTAAAATGTATATGTTGCCAACTGTCTCCACATCAAAAGTTTACATCTCATAATTGTCTAGACAGAATCCCCGGTGTGAATTTTGTAACTTTCAAACAGAATTAAGTCTCGGTGACCTTCTGCTGCTTCTGGATCTGTTTCCAGATGACATAAAACATTACATAGTTTCAAAAGTTGAGGTCCTTGTAAAATCGTCTAGGTTTTATTGGTGGCTAATAGATTCCCCGGATAATTACAATATTTGAAATGACAATTCATTTCTTGGGTGTGAATTTTGAATTCCCATTAGTTCAACAGAAATTAATTTCAGAGCTAAAACCAATTTATTGAATGTTCCTTCAATAATTGTAAAATGACACCAAATGGACCAAAATCAATTTAAAGTTTGACTTGAACTTAAAATATTCAGTATAGCCAACCGTTTGCCTACCCGTTTAAAATATCCAAAGTTCGACCGCCAATCTTACGATTTCCTCTAAAGAACCTCGTCATAGGTAAGTGTTACGTGTGGACAGAATTCGTCTTGGCGTTTGATCTCTTATTATCGGAGCCAGAACGGAGGTGCCGTTAATATTAATCTATGATCTTCTTTTAACGGGCAAGTAGCTAAACATTTGTTTAGTTATTAGGCTGTGACCCATTTCCACACAGAGGATATACTATCACAAACAGTTTAAACAGCACTTAATCAGTAACGAGAGTTAAAGAAAAACCTCAGAGATCAGTTACTGAAATCAAAGTGTAGAAATAAAAAATTGAAAATGCTCACCTCCATATAAACAGCAAAGGGCATCACTAACACAGCCACAAATATGTCAGCTACGGCAAGGGAGCAGATGAAATAATTAGTTACAGTTCGTAATGATCGTTCTCGATAAACACTCATCACTACAAGAATATTACCAAACACTGTAAATATTGGTATTACTATCAACATTATTGCCCAAAATCTATATTCCGGAGGTCCGTCATTCATAGTTTCATTACCATAGGACATGTTAAAAAAACATAAAGAGTCGTTCATTTCACAAGGATATTCCCATTGTTGAGAAACACCCATACCGTACTGGCTTAAAATGTCAGACGTGGCCCCAACCGGATCACTCGTTGTGGCATTTATGATCTCTTTGTGCATAGTGTGCGTGATATTGTCAGTAAAATTTCCAAGTGGACCGAATGGGGACCCCCCTGGTGGGGGATCCTTGGTGACTTCAGGGTCCTGCATATCACCTATATATGTTCCCCTCCCACTGCTTTGGAATCCAGAGGACCGCTCGTTTTCTGGAACATACCCCTGCTTATCTCTGTCCATTTTGGGTGATAAGAATTAACTCACATAGCAGTTACTTGTTATTGTACGACGTTCTAACGTCAGATTGTCATTAGGATCAAGAATGACTGTTATTAGCAGGTAGTGGAGAAGGATCAGTTTTCAAATTTGGAAGCATTTATAACCTTTAATTAGCTGAGTAGACACAACACATACACCGGGATTAATCAATATGTTACGGTTTTAGTTGGACTGGAACCTTTTCTGTAGAATTACAGTTTTAAAATCCATAAACTGTTTTCTCTTAACCCACAGACTTGCATCTTATCCAATGTTATTATCAAAAAGGACACATTTCGGATATGTTTCCCAAGGCATAAAATATAACACTGTTCCAGTAATTATTGTCCATGTGTTCATCGATTATATTAAATAGCGAGCAAAAAAGAAAAGAAGTCTTTCAAATTCGCCCCCCACCTTTGCTGCTCGTAAAATCAATAATCATTTGTCAGGCTTAATAAAGAATCGTGTCCAAGAGTATAAATTCCACAAGTTATCAGGTACCTAGTTTCCAAGATTAAAATCCACCCATGAACCAATTACTGATTTAATCATATTTCTCCATCAATATTATGCAACACTGAGCTTAATTGGTTTAGAAGTCTCCTAAGTGGGCTGTGTAAATCAAATTAAAATGGAAGGATGAAAACTCAAAGGATTAATATTTCTTTCCCTATAACAATCTGGTTATTTAATTCAAATCTGAATTCCCACAAAACCAAACCAAGAATCACTTAATATCACCATCAACACATACGGCTGAATATATATAGTGAGAGATAGAGTACCTGCATAATCATTATTGTTCCTGGTTCTATAATCAGACTAATGAACATACACCTTTAATTAATAGTCCACTTTTGTTCTTCGTAAATACAATATATTTGGTTACTCCCGGTGTTCTATTTATATAAAACAAGTCTAAGATTGACGCAGTCTTGCTTTCTGATATATTTCATTATTGTCTACATTTAAAAGCAATATATAAAAAAAGAAATCCAATATGGCTGCTATTTATTCCCGCCAATACGTCATTAAAGCATTCGTCAATCCCTGTGTCGATATCCGGTTTATTTAGAACGCTTATTTGATGTTCTTTGGAAATAAAAATTCCTCACCGTTTACAAATTCCATAAATATACATTTTCTATTCCTACAGGTTGCTAATCGACACCAGGCAAGGAAGGCAAAAAGTAACCACGAACTGCCCAGTTTTAAATAAGTAAAAGACTGATGATTCTATAATTGGAGAATTTCCTTTGATCACAGAAATCTCTTACACACGGATCAGGGGTGACTGTTAAAATTCAACACATTTCCACAAATAAATGATTTTAACCGCTTTATGAAGAGCCGCTGTCTAACCTACAAATATCATAAACAACTTAATCAATGTCAGTTCATGTGCACGATAACTGGCGAAACACTTGGATGTCTTCGTTATGTTATACTTTAAAAGAGGCTGTTCACTTCAGAAAACTGATTTGAGGTAAGTTCCTTGCTCGTTGTCCACCGAACTTGTTTGCTTTGCTAAACATCAACCCAGTAAGGTAGCAACGCAGATACAAAATTTAGAATTGATATATCACTGGATTATGGATGGCATATATATTAAGCGAAACAAAATATTTCTTTAACTGTTATGGATATACACGTCACGAAGTTCGCCTGTCGTCACCATATTGCCGAAAGAAAATGATGATTTTGGGAATACTGTCTTTCCAAGATGACGAGACAAACGTAATTCACCGTTCATCAGAACATGTTCGCCACACACCTAGCATTAATTGACGTGTCAATTTCAGTGTTCACGTCTCAATATGACATATGTTGTTCTTCCGTACTTGTCTACTCTCTGCACGTGCTCAGCAGACGACAGATTTCGATCTTGTTGACATAAAGTAGCTAGATGAAGTGATTGGAGGCGAGTTGAGATTCTTTTTACACCTTTTGATCAGTAATGCTAATGTGGCACGGTCTCGTCTACTTCTAAGAACGGTAGTCCAAACTTTGTTTTAATAGCAAATGCTTCGATGATCAAAGCAAATCAAGTTACTCCTTATTGACTCAATAGAAGACGTTCGTATTTATTCCAAATTCCACTGCACCTTACTCCGTTTTCTTTAGATTCTAGATCGCAACTCCAAACGTGTTTGCGCACGTTACGTTAATATTGCCATTCTGTGGAAGATATGTCTTTCTGTTGACGAGGGTAGGTATTACAATACATGTATTATCACTTAGCATGATATCCAAGTCTTGTGTGAACACACTCTTTGTCATACAATGACACTAATTCAATAAATATCTGGAGATATCTCTGGTGAGATGAGATGATATAACCAACGATACTCTTTTTCGCAGTAACTATAATCCGTATTAGTGGCTCTTCATAATACTAACAGGTCCTACAAATATAAAAAAAATAATATTTTATATCATTTATTCGTAAATTTTGTATACTCGTGTATTATTTTATTAAAATTTACGAATTTGACACAGCAACATGGCAAAGCATAGCATTCAAAAATACAGTTAACCCCAACGCAAAAATAAAAATACAAATTCAAGTAGATCAAATCTAGCAATTGGAAGCGAAAAAGTCACCTGGGACGATAACTCTTTTATGGTTAGTGGTATTTGGAGTTCCAGAAAGGTCTCGTAAAATATGTCTGGACACAATTATCGCTCGGTAAATGCCGTTGGATTGATTTCCAAGAAATATAGATGTAATGTTGTATTTTTCCTTATGTAAAATTCAAACTCTCTCGAACTGTCTATAAGTGTTTGCTAAAACGTAACGTAATTTTGAAAATTTCGTCCGCTCTTCTAGTGGCCTGAAGAACGAACATGCAACCGTATGTGGTCAAAGATTTGGTTAGCTGACAGGTGGGTCATTCCTTTCTCTATTTCGTTTGGTATATTTTTGTGTGTTCCGTGGTTGATCTTTTGGCAAACGAGAAACATAGGAAAATGTAAAGCTAAACGGCATCATATAATGCAGATCGCTGTCTTAGCCAGTGACACTTCTAGTATATAGAACTAAACAATACGCTATGAAGATCGCCAATATTTATTCCCAGCACGTCTTCTTGGCGATTTGGATTCGCCTCTCTCTTACTGCCTATTGTATTAATTAGCTTGATTTATATTTTCTCATTGCCCCTGAAAATATTTACAGTTGACAAACGGAAATAATATCCGTATCTGAATTAAGCAACATCGAATATATTACAGCATACTGTCCAGATTCTAGAAAAAAGCGAGAATTACCCCACTGGCAAAAAATAAATCTTTAATAGATTGGATATATTCCGCTTGTTTATTTTATATATTATATATCTATGTTTTGCTACTGCCGCTTGGATTGAAATTAATTATACACTTCAGCTCGCAATCTTTAAGTTGCCACGGCTCGAATTCCGAAAAGCTTAATCGACGCCTGATTGAGTGGTGTATAAGAAATATATTAACAGAACACAGTTTTTATGGGATAAAATCACGTAGCACAAAGTATAGCTGGTAATTTATATTAACTATTTCGATTGGTTGAGAAGCAAACGAAAAAGACCAATAATAACAATCGACCATACTTGCTATCTAAACGTAGCAATGGTTATTGAGCTTTTAAGCCCATCACACCTGCTTCGTGAAAATGGAAATTAACTGAACAAAATACTGCCAGCGACGGTGGTGAAAGTCCTAACACTATAATGTGTTGCATGAGTGTTCAATACATGTATATTAATGCATGTGAATAGACTATGTCTTTGTGCTATTCAAGTTTCAACATGATTTTCAAATTGATTATTTTTAGGTTTGAGAAGAAAAAGCTCATTTTACAAGACAGACATATAAAAAAAACTGACAATGTGTCTTTATTTCAATTATTTTTTTCGCCAATAATTACAACATTTTATAGTTTGTGAAACTTTAAAATAGCCTAGTCTTAAACATACACACTTTGTCAGAATAAACAAATGAAAATTAATATGTCTACATCCAACGCTAATCATTTTATATTTTAATCTGAAAATCTCATTTTCAATTTTAATGCCACCAAGTTGATTAAATTTCTTTGAGAATATCATAACACCTAGAATGAATTTGTAACTCTCATAGATGTTTTATATCTATGTTCTTTTGTGTTAATGAAAAGCTTCAATCGCCATGAATTCAATATCAAATGTGTGTTAAGCAAATATATTGGCCGAATAAAGTTTAAATGGCATTCTTGTAATTTAATTAGCAATTATATATAGGATATTTGACGCTAGCATGTTTCTATCTAATACAATTACTATCTACTCTTGAGATCATTTAAAATCCGATTCTCCTACAGGTTTTTATTATATTGGCACTGGGGACTTCCATATTCGAAATGATTTTCTCTATAACATCTCTTTGATAGAATACTCGAGACTGCTGATATTTTTAAATAAAATATATTTCCCTTTATTACGTGGGGTGGGGGCAGAGGTGATGGCTTTGTGAGGAAAGACACAAATTTACCTTATCAACTATTTACGTGTCGGTTAATCACGTTCGGTTTTCATAGCATCCGAATGGCCTCAGTCCCTCATACGTAACAAACGAACACATCAGTCAGTCAACAGATCTCCGAAAAATAGAGTTCGTTTAAATATTTAAAGCAAAATGTAAAAATAGAGCCCATTTTTCATTTAATGACATGCAAACAGCGACCATTCGATACTATTTGTATACTTTGCCATGGGTAAATGTGGGAAGGCAGTCGACCCTGGCCCCCGTCACTTATAAGACTCGGCCGAGCCCTTGAATAGCCATGAAAACGCCATATAATCTACCGCGCGTTAAAGTATTCTGTCACCAAATCGCACGAACTTATGGTTATAGATGCATTATGTAAGAGCTAAGCAGTTCTTTCGTTTGGACTCAGAAGTTATATAAATCATTAATTAGACATTTATTCACATGACAAGCCCATAATCAACTCTCTAAACAATTGGCAGTTATTATCGTAACAACGTTAGCAATGACGATCGAGACTTCATTGTTATTCAAACGGTCATAACTACGCTCAGTATGAAGTAATTTGACTGAAGTTTTGAACATATTCCCTTTTCATTATTTATTTAACTATTTTAGCGAGAACTATCAGCTCTTTATCTAAATCTTACATAATGCATCTTTAAGTACACGCATTTTTAATCCCAGTATAGTCTTTTGGGTCGGGGGGTCTTGGGCATGACCATCTGTGACACCAGTGTACTAAAACTCCCAAGTAATTTACCTTATTTGCCGCATTATACTCACTATACCGCTATTTAATTTGGCCAGGATGAACCCAGATCAGTTTCAGATGTCCCTATGATTAACAATGTTCAAGCACTTGACCACAGCCGTCAAGAGAATGCTATATAGAAATAAGAAATTACTGGCACGGAAATCGAAATCTTACAAAGAGGAAATTTGCTACACTAGCAGCCAGTGACTTACTTTACGACCGACAATTCTGACGTCATTAAGAGCCCAACGGGGTGGATATTAAGGTTTTAAAAGTTATTGTACGTTGAACATTGAGAGATTTGTTTGGGATCATCTAATATACCGTATATATCTATATAAATGTGTGAATAACATCTTTAAGAGAGAGAGAGGGAGAGAGAGAGAGTATTATGTTATTTCGGGACCACTATGGTACAATTCTATTTCCACAATTTGTTTCTTTAGCATTGGAAGGTTGGGAAGGCGACTCTACTCCCTGTCCCGTACAAAAGTTGGATCGAAACCATGTCACTTGACTCATTGACAGACCTGATGTAAACTGCTCGCGTCAGACCATTATATTTGGAATGAACAGATCATGTTTATTCTGATATAAATAATTTACTAATGTCTTCACGGCAAGTCTGTGCAGCGTGTGGGACAAATATAAAATAATAACCATGGAATGCAAGCAGTACCAGAATACCATTTTAGAATCGATTTGAGTTATACAATTCGTCAACACTATACTTATGTCATTTATATGGTCACGTGTGCAATTCGAGTTTTATATGGTCACGTCTGCAATGCTAGTTTTATATGGTCATGTGTGCAATGCTTGTTTTATATTGTCACATGTACAATGCTAGTTTATATGGTCTTGAGTGCAATGCTAGTCTTATATGGTCATGTGTGTAGCAATGCCAGTTTCTAATATTGAAGGCTTCATTTACGTACAAGCGAAGGCGTAAAACGGTGAACCTTAAATTTTAGTCCAATTCGAACAAGGTAACACTTTCCATGCAAGGACGCTAAACTATATTAAAGGGAACCGCACCTGCATTCGAACTCAGGACCTGGGCCCTGTTTCACGAAATTTTAACTAAGATAAAATCCAAATTTTAGTAATTTGATTGGATAATATTAGATTGATTTTAGTGCTTAGCCAATCAAAATTGAAGTATCAACTAAAATTCGGATTTTATCTTTAATTAAAATTTCGTGAAACAGGGCCCAGGTTAT